TGGGCCGCAGGGGGAAGGAGCCAGGCCTCTGCTCAGCTTCCCAACAGCGGGATGTCCCGGCAGGTGGGCATGCACAGCCCGACAGTCACCTCGAGGCTGACCTGTCCCAGGAGATGGGCTCGGACACCTCGGGCACTATCCTCCGAGGGCCACAGTGGGTTTGGCCACGGCGACCGTGCACGACCTGGAGCCCTCAGCTGAGGCTGCAGGAGGAAGATAAAGACTCGCGTTTCTCAAATCTCTGGCAGACTCAAGTGGTCCAGCCAGAAAAGAGTCGTAAAATGCCCCACATTCTCACGTGCATCTGCCCCGAGGCCAAGGCCATAAGACCACGCCGCTCAGAAGGGTCCACTTGTTACCGATTAGGCAGACAGAAACTTCTCGAAAGGAACTTTACTTTCTGAAGCCGAGAGGATGTGCTGGTTGGTACCAGACCTTCCTCCAGGGAAAAAGCAAATGGAGCCTCTTAGTGCCTGGGCAGGAGAGAGGGCAGGCAGGTGGGAGGCTCTCACAGTGTGGCCACGCCCCCTGCCCCTCCGCCCCGCCACCCTGCACACCCAGGATCCCTGCGCAGACCACGCATCGCTGTGTGTCCCCTCTACTCTGGCCGCCTCCACCTACGCACACCTTACAACACATTGGCAAAGGCCCCGGAGGGTGGAGAGGAACCCCAGCCTCTCCGCCTCACACGGTGCTCTCTGGACTCGCCCGTTGTTCTCCGACTTACAAGACAGGGACCAGGTCAGCAGGAAGCAGCTTCCGGAAGTCTGCCAGCCAGGGCCTGGTGACCAAGGTGACGAGGTCCCTTCCTCTGAGGGCAGGAGGAGTCCGCCTTACCAAGGGGCCTTCTAAAACAGCCCCCTTTTTCTAAACTTCATACCACGTCCTCACCTAGAGCAAGAACTCAACCCCAGACCCACTGAAACAGGCACGGGCCAGATGCCTTAAATGCAGGAACCAAAGGGACATTTCTACCGAATGACACCCTATGGGGCTCCCGTGATGGCTGGTGCGGGGTTCCCACCCGGCCTGCCAGGCCTCCGCCCACGTCCCACCCGCGTGACCAGTCGGCCCCATGGCACCGTGCTCCCCACTCCCAGCCCTCACTCCATTGCAGAGCTGAGCATCCGGGCCTCGCACTGGGAACAGCCCTGCCGTGGATCATGGAGCCCTCTTCCTCAGCGTGCACACTTTCTGCTGCCAGGATGAGTCATCATGCAATCCGCACCCTCCCCCGCTGGGCACCCTCCCGCTGGCACTGAAGCAGCGTGTGCGTGAGCGTGCTGTGGCCCGATGGTGGCTTGCCCTCTGAGGCCTCTGCAGGCACGCTGCATTGTTGGCCCAGGGGCTCAGAGAGCCAATAGCTTGGGTGGGGGTGGGGTCTGATTTATAGATCTGAATCTCCCTCGTGCACCTGCCAAGCCACACCCCCTCTTCTGCAGGCCTGTGAAGCTCCATTTTAGTCTGTTTCCTGGGTTTGAACCTGTCATCCTCACTTGGATGAGGTCCCTAACCTGCTGCTCTTCCTGCTCTCTGCTCCCCTCCACCCAGCCCGCACACTGCACCAGTCCTGGGAAGAACCATTCATAGTACTCCAGACCCATTCCGCCCCCCTCGCCTGCACAGAAAAGAGATGTAAAAATTGCTCTCTCTCCTCTCCCCCCCCACCCCCCAGCCTTCAAATGCCTCCATCCTCCATCCTCTTTTCTGCAGAGAAAAACTGGATCTCCGTAGGCAGGCACTGAGCCACTTGCCTGGTTCCCGTGGTCCACACCTCCCCCACCCCCACGCCCAGCTACACTCTGCACCTGCCAGAGGCTCCCTGCCCTCCCGAGAACCTCGAACTTTCCACCTGCAACTCGCTGCTACAGCACCCTTTGCCGAAGGGGCCCCAGAACAAGAGCCCAGCCCAGCCCAGCCCAGCCCGGCGCAGTCCAAAGGAACACGGTGTGCTCAAGTTATCCATTACTAGGGTTAGAGGAGGTCACAGGGCGGGAAGCACGTTGGCAAGCAAGGAGAAAGGTGCAGAGAGGATGGGGGCCTCCTGAGGGTATCCAAGGGTATCCGAGTGGGAAGGTGGCAAAGTCATAGCAACAGCCCCAAGGTTGGATGAGGTCAGATGGAAACAGTTCATTAGAATTAAGCCAGCTACTTAATAGCTCCTGCTATGCATCGGCACTGCGCTTCGTTAGCACTTTGCCACAACTCCCATTTAATCCTTGCAACCCTGTAGCACTCCGTTTTTACAACTGAGGGAGAACAGGCGACTTGACCCAGGTCGCACAGCTGGCACGGTGGCAGCTGGGGGTGCGAATGCAGGCCTGTCTTGCTCTTCACCACGTGGCTCTTTGTGGTGAGGCACTTAGGTGGGTGACACAATTCTGGAAGGTCGAGAGTGGCAGGGAAGGTGGCATCTGCACCGGGTTCCCACGGGGCTGACATCCTGTTCTCTGTAGGCAATGCGGGGTTCAGGGGCGGGGTGGGGGTGGGCAGGGAGTTCCTGGGCGGCCTAGGGGAGGCTGATTTAGAATGAGATTCCTCTTTGGCCATGAAGGCAGGACCCTCAGGACCTGTCAGAGTTTACACGCGGGGGGGGGGGGGGGAATGAGCGAATGGGGAGCTAACGTTGGATGGGGAAGGGGGAGGAGTATCCCCCCGAGGAAGACCGTAGGCCAAGGACAAGAAGGAAAGTTCTTCCCGGCCAAAAACAGCCTCCTTGGCATTTGCCACCCCCCCGCAAAACTAGAGAGGTAAGAAAAGACAACTCTTTTTTTAAAGACAAAAAGGGGGTTCTAAAATTAAAAATCTGGCACTCCGAGCCCTTCTCCACTGGCTGTGTTTTATGGCATGCTTTTACTGGAAAAGAAAAAAGAGGGGAAAAGGAGACAGAAAAATCCCGGTGGGGGTGGGAAGGGGGGACAAAGGGAGTGTGCACAAGGCGGCCCCACTCCCCTCCCCCACCCCTCCGGCCTGTTCTACCTCCTCCCGGCACTCCTCCATTTCTGCTGATTCTGCCCTCCAGCTCTCCTCCCTCGGACAGGTAGCTGGTGTCCAATAAACACACACCCTTGCAAGGGACCTGCCTGCTGGAAACTCCTCGGTGGGGTAACTCCCGTGGGAGGGACCAGGGCATCCTGTCCGCAGGTGCAGCCTCTTCCTGCAGCTCTTCAGCAGCTGGGGCTTTGCCAACACAAACTGCAGGGAAAGCAGGGTGGCTTCCTGTCTCAGCACCTGGCTCTCACGGTCGCCCTTGAGGCAGTCCTGCCCGCAGCACCCCTGTGGGGCTGGGCAGACAGGTGGCTGCTGTTTTCCTAAACTCCCGGGGTTCTCAGGTTGGCCCAGGCCTTGCAGGTGCGCCTGAAGAAGGATTCGCGGGGAAGAGCTTGTTCTATTCAGTTCATGCTCATCCTCAGACCTGCGAGTTGACCTTGGAGACAAAGGTGCCCCAGACAAGCAGCCCAGACTGGGCGATTCCTGGACACCGGGCTGGGAATCCGGCCCGATGGGCCCTGTTGCCCTGGGATGGATGGATACCCCTCCCCTGTGGTGACTGCAGAGCACCCTGCCTTTCTGCTGTGTCACTGCCCCGAGAGGCACGTGCGAAGCCGCTCAGGGGCTCCAGGAGGTGGGGGACATGGAACTAAGGAGTCTGGCTTTTCAGCAGCAGGGATGGAAGGGGAGGGGAGCGCATGCCCAGGACTGCCCGGAACGTCTAGCCATTTGAACTGTCTTCCCAATCCCTTTCGTCCCAGGGATTTCACAACCAAACGAAGAGGTCCGTACCCCCCCAAAGGGGCACAAAGGCATGTCCGTGAGAAGACCAGCCGCGGACTCCGCACCAAGGACAGTCCGCGGTGGCTGGGTCACATGCAGACATGGTCGCTGGGGTCTAGACTAGCAGGAACCGCCTGGCAGTGCCTTTGGTCTCGGAAGGAAGACTCCCTGGGGGTTGGTCGGCCTCCTTCACCCCTCCAGGGCCCCGCGGCCCGGCTGCGCTCTGGGTGGGTCAGCAAGTGTCCTGCTTGAGGTGGTTCGGGCCGCCCACACGGAGCGCAGCCGGGCAGTCAGGGGAGGGCAGGGCTGGAACTTCAACCGCAGCGGCGGGGAGCGCCCAGGGGCGGCAGGTGCAGGAGCGGGGAGGCGGGGCGGAGCTAAAGCAGAGTCCCCGACTCCTCGGCG